TTTAAAAATTGGGAAGATGCAGAATTAAATAGTTTTAAAAATAAATAAATCACCTCGAGATTATATGAATAATGAAGCTTTGTTGATCAGTGGGGCTGCTTATAAATGGCGTCCATAAAATTGAGACGCCCTTCCCTAATTTATCACAAAAATTAAATGAAGAAATATTTATTTTAATTAAACTTACACTTAATCTTAGTTCCCCCACCCAAACCCCTCCTTCATATTGCACGTCATTTATGAAAGGCTCCTTTTTAAAATTCCATAATTATTTAAAGATTCGTTCGCTTAAACGTACATACATCGCTAGTTTTACAGATTAATTGTGATCTATAAGTCCTCCCTTAGTTGGCGTCTGAAAAAGACTCTGTCGCCAGCTACTCTCTGCTAATCGTCAATACCAAATTCTATGTCATCTCTGTCAACAGCTTCCTTCGAAGAAGTCTTTATCACGTTCACTTATGACGTTTACTTATGACGTCCAAAATTCACGGTCATTTTTAAAAAGAACCCAATGGATTAAAAGGAATTTCTGTTGTTCTTTTCTTGATGACCATTAGCTAGAGCTCGAAGTCAGCTAGAGAAAAGTTGAGTCGACTCACTTGTGAGTTGAGTCGAGACAAGTCGAATCGACTCGAACCCTATCGAATTCGAGCTCTGACGCCAACTTTCCCCCAACCCCCTGGACGTCATAATTGAACAGCCTTTTAAAGCTCTTCTAGAATTTAGAATGATTCATTGGTGTCACAGTTAATGCACTTCCGGTCTTGGTTTACCAACATTTATTAAATGTATGACTGCATCAGTAAAGATAAGAATTATCAGCAAATCATTCGCACCTTATGAAATAAGCACTTATGATTGGCAGTTTAAACAATCTGAATTAAAGCATTATTTAAGGAACAGTCAAGATATTATGTTCATAAGCTACACAGCTAGCTATATTGTTGACTAAATCAAGGTTATTATAGACTTTAAGATTAAAATAGTATTAAAATATTCAAAAAAGTGGAAAAGTGTAACAAAAGTTATCGAAATGGCATCAAATCAGCTGCAAATCTTTCAACAATGTCTCAAAAGTTCCACAATATTATTCAATTTAGCAATCTTAATCATATTCATTGCTTTATGTCCTCAACAATCTTCACAACAAGACATGACAGTTCAGGCAACTTGTGACTACAACTATGACTCAAAAGGCATCTACACTTGTGACTTTAATATCTCAGCACCAGTGAATTCAACATACTTCCTTGACATTACAGGAATTCACCTTGATAATCACACAGATGCTGATGTCAAAGCTGTGAACATTCAAAATGCTACATTTGTGTCTTTTAATGAGGAAGTGATGAAAAAATTTGCAAATTTGATGATTCTGAACTTTAATGGAGGTAAAATTCAGGAATTCAGTCCAAATTCTTTTGAAGCATGTCAAAATTTAGAGATAATAACAAGTGTGCTGCATCAAGTTACAACATTTCCGCCACAAATGCTTAAGAATTGTAAAAAGTTACGAATTTTCGATGTTTATGGACAAAACTTAGAGGAAGTTCCCGAAGATTTATTTGGTATGACAGAAAACTTGGAGGAATTTCGACTTATGACATTTAAAATTACGTCACTGCCTGAAAAGTTGCTCCAAAATATGAAAAATTTGACAATTCTTGGCATCAGTGGGAATGAATTGACTGAACTGCATCCAAACTTCCTGATTGCTGCTGTGAACCTTGAGCATGTTGATATATCATTTAATAAATTTGAGGACCAATTGAAGCTGACCTACGCGCTAAATGGACATCCAAATGTCAAGAAGTTGTTCCTGCAATACAATTACTTCAATCATTTTGATTTTAGATTTTTCTCGCAGTTCCAGAAGCTTGAGGAGCTGAACATTGGCATAATATATAAAAATTTATCTGATATTTCATGGAAATCACTTCCTAGCTCAATGCTGCACCTGTCTATTGACAATATAGCTGAAGATATTCTAGAAAATTCACTCGATCGTCTTGTGAATCTTAAATCATTAAATCTGTCTGGAAGGGGCATCATGAACCTCCAAAAAGACATATTCAAGACACTGACAAATTTGGAGATGCTGGAAATTTTCTTCACAAACATTAAATCCCTTCATCCTGAAATGTTTATGAACCTTATCAACCTTAGTGATCTAAAAATAAGAAACAACAAAATTCAGGACCTTCCAGCTGGAATTTTTGCCTCACTTGTCAATCTTGGAATTAAAAGTGATAATCATGGCTTAAAAATGACCTCAAATGAAATCACAAGACTTAATGCTGATTCATTTGGTCTACATCCGCACCTGCGCTTTATTGAGTTCTCTGGAAATAAAATTAATGAAATCGAACCCGGAATCTTCAGCAAATTTAATTCTAATCTAACACATGCTTATTTTTATATCAACAAATGTGTAGATGGGAAATTTTCTGGTGAAAATCTTGACGATAACGACGCATTTTCATTATGTTTTAAGAATTGGGAAGAAATAGTTCCAACAACTGAAGCTACAACTGAAGATACAACACCTGGAAGCGCTGGATTTAATTTTAAGAAATTTGAGATTTTTGCTATTATTTTTATTGGATTGTTAAGCAAATTAATGCAAAATATGTGAGCAAGGGAAGGCTGCAGCTACATCGAAAGATTAATCATGTCATAATGGCTTGTATCAGTCCTGAAATGTTTATTATCTAAGGGGCCATTCACTTATTACGTAACGCTTTTAGGGGGAGGGGGGGGGGGGGGTCTAAGATTTTATTACGGTTCAAACAAGGAAATTTTTTTTTCATACAAATTTTGTTACGAGGGGGGGGGGGGGGGGTCTTAGAAGTCATTTTTTCGGGTTACGTAATAAGTGAACAGCCCCTAAGGCAGTGTTGTCTAAACTTTTCTAACCACGGCACACTTTAGTCGGAAGCCATGTCCAAAGTAGCACACAGCATAGGCTCGCGTCAATACCAAATAATTTCTAACGCACACCAGTGTGCCTCAGCACACAGTTTGGACAACACTGATCTAAGATTTAATAACAAAGATTTTATTACATTTAAAAATTATTCTTATCAGCATATTAAGCTACTTCAAAAGGTCAATAAAATGAAATGTCACACAAATACTTCTTGGCTTATCATTTTACAAGTATTTTGTATTAATTGATAAGTAGGCTGTTGATTCAATTAAGGTGTGCCTGTAAATTTGTGCGTAAATATTTTTTGAAGTTTTATTAAATTGTACCTTAGCTTGAAGCATCTTATTGCATCTAAATCTTGTTCATCATGTCTATAAAATTACCAGATTCTAGATTTGTTATCCTATTCCTCACATTTCTGACGCTCAACCTCGAAAAGACCATCCAACAAACAACAATCGACGATATTAATGCAATTCAAGCTACTTGTGACTACATCTACGATTCAGAACACACTTACACCTGCAACCTTCTTAATGCTGTTATTGTAAATGATTTTGATGTCTTGGAAATCACTGGAACTCACTTAGATGATCGTACTGACGAGGACATCCTAAAGCTCAACTACCACAACACATCAAGTAAATATTTCAAAGGTGAAGTTTTCAGAAAATTTAAAAAATTGCAAACATTAAAATTGCTGGGTCAAAAGTTGGAGGAAATCCGTCAAGATGCTTTTGAAGTCTGTCCAAATTTGATGGTTCTGTACATTCAGTTCAATGACTTGATAGAACTACCGAATCTAATGCTTAAAAACTGTGATAAATTAATCACTTTGAAGCTTGCTTACACTGGATTGAGGAAAATTCCAGAAGATGTGTTTGGACAGACTAAGAATTTGGAGGAATTGATTATATCCAACAATCAGCTGACATCATTGCCAGAGAAATTGTTGGAAAATTTAGAAAATTTGAGGTTATTTGATGCAAGCTTTAATTTTATAAAAATATTAAGTTCAGATTTCTTTGTAAAAAAGCCAAATTTGAAGCATGTTGATGTCTCGTATAATAATTTCGAGGATCAAGCTAGCATCAGTGCCTTTAGTGACCATATAAACATATTGAAAATGTCACTAAAATTCAACAATTTTCAAAATTTTGACTTCAATTTCTTGTCACAATTTAAAAACCTTGAAGAAATAGCGATTGGATCAACTGAAGGACCCAAACTGACTAAAATATCATGGCAATCACTTCCATACTCAATTAAATCATTGATAGTTTATGGAGTTGGTGAGGATATTCCGGAAAATTCATTTGACAACCTTCAGAACTTAAGATTGTTGTCACTAACTGGAAGGGACATCGTAATCATCCACAAAGACACATTCAGGGCATTAAACAAGCTAGAAATAATCTCAATCGAAGGAACAAGCATATCAACCTTACATTCTGAGTTGTTCATTAACCAAGCATCCTTAAGTGACTTCAACTTTCGAGACAATAAGATTCAATCACTTTCTGTTGGAATTTTCAAGGCACTAGTCAATTTAGGAAACTTGAGTGAACATCACGGCATTAAAATCTCATTCAATAACATCCAAAGGCTCAGCTCTAATTCCTTCGGTCAGCATCCTCATCTTCGATTCATTGACTTCTCATCGAACAAAATAATTGAAATTGAAAAAGGAATTTTCAGCAAATTCCACTCAAACTTGACTTTTGTTGATTTTTACTATAACTTTTGTGTTGATGAGCTTTACGTCTATCCTATAGATCTTGATGAACATGAGAGGATGGTTTCGTGTTATGGCAATTTGATAGAAACCACGACATCACAGTCAACAGAAGGGGCAGAAGAAACAACATCCGGTGGCTCTGGAAATAATTTTAAATATTTTGAAGTTTTTTTGACTATTTTTGTAGGTTTGGTCTTGAACTTTATGAGAATATGAAGCTAATTGTTTACATTTTGTGTTTATTAAGTTTGGTAAATAAAAGCTACATTTTAAAATTTTAAAAATCAACAAAAAATTTGTGTAAGAGGATTAGTAAAATCCCCTAGACAGGAATAACTCTTTAACATGCCAGGATTTCCTGGATTCCAACTTACTCTTCTCTTCCGACGCCCCTAGATCCCATGTATCCATGCTTAAACTGATTCCTGATTCATACGATAAGCAAATACGCTCCCTTTCTCATAAAATGTCTTCATCTTTTCCATATCCTTATCATCTGCTGAATTTTGTTCTGACTTTCTTTTCCGTCCATATCCACCACCACCTATAAGATTCCACAATTCATAAAACATCCCTAATAAATAAATTTGATATCTCACCTGGTGTCAACATTGAGTAAACATCCCCAGCATCAACATTAACAGCATTTTTAGCACCTAAATTGATGATCCTTCCATCAAACTTCCTCAATAAATTCAATCCAACCTTCCCAGACTCGCCGCCTTCTAATCCATAATTCTTTATAACTCTACGTTCAGTCAGAACTGACAATGTCACAGGCTTTCTGAACATCAGTTCTCTTTTGATTCCTTCACCGCCTGTAAACAATCCAGTTCCAGCAGATTCATCATTTCTCAAGCAGAATGACTTTAATATTATTGGATATCTTTGTTCCATAATCTCCAAGTCAGTGATTCTTGTATTAGTCATGTGAGTATGAACACCTGACGTTCCATTCCAGTTAGGTCCAGCTCCAGAACCACCACCAACAGTCTCATAGTATCCCCACTTCTCGTCACCAATTGTTATGTTGTTCATGCATCCACAGCTTGCAGCACAGACATTAAATGCTTTAAGGATCACATCGACGATTCTTTGGGATGTGAGGACATTTCCACCGACCACAGCAGCACCTTCTGATGGATTGAGAATGGAATTATCAGGAATGATGACATCAATTGGGTTTAAGCAGCCTTGATTCAGTGGAATATCAAATCCGACCATGCAGCGTAGGCAATAAATGATTGCGGACATGACAATAGCTTTTGGTGCATTGCAGTTGCCGTAAAATTCATATCCAGTTCCTGTGAAGTCAAACACAGCAGTTCCATTATCTTCGTTGATCTTGACTGTCAAGGTTATTGGAGTTCCATCGTCCATAAATTCAGTAGCTTGAAGGACACTGTTACCAGTTCGATTCCTTGCATCCATAGCTATTTCTTTCAGCATATCCCTAACAGACTCAGCAGCATTTTGTTGTATATAATTCATGAATGCTTGAACGACTTCAAGTCCATAAATGTCAATCAGTTCTCGAACCAGCTGGATTCCTTTATGATTTGCAGCTATTTGAGCTTTAAGGTCAGAAATGTTGTCACTTAAATTTCTACTTCCAGCTGCTATAAGTTCTTCTGTGATTCCTTGCTCATTGAAGATATGTCCATCGACTAGCAAAAACGACTTAAATGCAGCACCTTCTTCAGACAAGCTCTTAGAATGTGGTGGCATTGAGCCTGGAGAAATTCCACCGATATCTGCATGATGTCCACGAGAAGCAACAAAAAAGACAGGATTTGGAACTGATGGATAAAAGACGGGAGTTATGACTGTTAAGTCAGGCAAGTGTGAACCACCAGCTTGTGGATGATTGGATAGAATCACATCCCCGTCCTTAAGTGAGCCACCGCGTGATTTAATTTGGAACCTGACAGTTTCCTGCATAGCACCAAGATGAACTGGAATGTGAGGAGCGTTGCTGACTAGTCCTCCGTCTGGACCAAAGAGCGCACAGCTGAAGTCTAAGCGTTCTTTAATATTTGTGGAAATTGAAGTTCTTTGAAGGATTCTTCCACATTGTTCAGCAATGCTCATGAATCTGTGACTAAAGATTGACAGCTGAATTGGATCCAAGTCAGTTCCAACAACTTTCTGTGCGATGTTCTCAATTTCAACCACAATATCACCTTTACTCGTGATGACTCCATAAGAATTAGGCTCAATAATGATTGTTGACAGCTTATCAATGACCACAGCAGGTCCGATAATCTTATGTCCAGCTAGCAAGTCTTCTCTCATATACAATCCAGTGTCCATCCACTTATCATCAAAGAAAACTTTTGAAATTTTCACTGGAACTGGATTTTCATTGTTTACAGCACTAGGAATTGACAGTTCTTCTGGAATCTTTGACTTTCCACAGCCACGAACTCTGACGTCATCGACAATGATTGATCGGTTCTCGAGTTGGAATCCAAACTCTTTTTGGTACCTTTTAAGGAATGAATCTATAAAGTTCCCATATCCAGGCACATCAGAGATCAGATCGTCCTTACTAGGTGATATCATTAATGCACAATCAGTTCCACTGTACCTCAAATGCAGGTATGGCTCAAGTAAAATGTTGGCCTTCCCAAATCCCTGAGTTTCCAGCTGGTCAACACAAACTTTTGACAGCCTATCCAACAGCTCCTTAACATGTCTAATATTTCCATCCTCAAACACCAATCCACACGGCTCTTGTGTATCATGAACAACATCAGCTAATGCCATTCCATATGCTGACAAGATTCCAGCATATTTGTGGATCAAAACCTTCTTCATGCCAAGTTCCTTTGCAATAGAACAAGCATGCTGACCACCAGCACCTCCAAAAACCACCAAAGCATGCTTCGATGTGTCAAATCCTCTTGATTGAGTTAATGCACGAATTGGACGACACATGGCTTCATTTGCTACTCGGATGAATCCCATGGCTACTTCCTGAATTGACAGAGTTTCAGATTTGTTGTTGTGGATGTTGATTGTGTTAGCGATTTCTGTGAATTTATTTGTTGCTGCTTCTAAGTCAAGAGGTTCATCTTCTTTGGGTCCGAAGATTTTTGGGAAATATTCTGGAAATAGACGACCTAGCACTAGATTGGCATCTGTGATTGTTAAGGGTCCTCCCTTTTTGTAGCATGCTGGGCCTGAAATTAGGTTGAGTTTTGAGGTTATTTGAATTATAAAAATAAGACGACTTAATATGACCAACCTGGATGAGCTCCTGCAGATTCCGGTCCAACAACATACATTCCAGACCTAAAGAATAACTGTGATCCACCACCAGCAGCTACAGTGTTAATATCAAGTTGTGGTGCCTGAATAGTGACTCCAGCTGTTGTTGACTCAACTACATGATCGTAATGTCCATCGAACCTTGAGACATCAGTTGAGGTACCTAAAACAATTAAATTAAGGTTAACTTACAATCAATACATCCACAACCTAGTCTCTTACCTCCCATATCAAACCCAATCAACGGCAAGTCAGTGTCTCTCTTTCCAGTCACACTAAATCCAATAACACCACCAGCTGGTCCAGATAAAATTGCCTTAGCTCCTCTAAAGTTATCCATATTGGTAAGTCCACCATCGCTTTGCATGAACAGCACCTCAACACCTTCTAGATTCTTATGGAATCCAGCTCTGAATGATTTCAGATACCTCTCAACATGTGGTGTCAAGTAAGCTTCAGCACAGCATGTGAAGCTACGAGGAACTAGTCGAATCATTGGCATGGCTTGATGGGATAAAGTCACAGTTGTAAAACCGATATCTTGTGCGATTTTTCCGACTGCAATTTCTTGTTCTGGACAGGCATAAGAGTGTGCTAAACAGACAGCAATGGATTTGATGCCATTGCTTAAGACTTTTTGAAGTTGTGACTTGATAGATTTTTTGTCTAGTTCCTTCATGACCAAAAACACAGAATTTGAAATTCCAGGAATTTTTCTCCAATTTTCAGACATTTTTCCTAGTTGACAGTCAGGCCTTTCAGGCACAATTCTGCAGTCAACCTCAATAACTTCTTCGTACAAATTTGACGGCTTTCGAATATTTAAATCGAAAATCTTTGGCCTCGCTTGATTCCCAATCTGCAGGACATCCTTAAATCCTTTATTCACAACCAATGCGATTTTCTCTCCTTTTCGTTCCAGCAGAGCATTTGTAGCAACTGTCGTTCCCATCCTGATGAATTCAATCTTTGCTGTGTCAATTAATCCATTGGAAGTGACTGCAGACTCACCAAGATCTTCAGTCAAAATTCTTTTGATCGCTTCTGTTGGTGCGTCGGGATAATTTTGAGGATCCTCAGATAGAAGCTTCATGGTTCTGATGGATTTATCGGGTCTGATTGCGAGGACATCGGTGAAGGTGCCACCGCGGTCAATTGAGAATTTGTAGCCGTTCATTGTGTGGGTTGGTTAGCTAGAGGAGAATGGCTACTCAATGTTTAGAAGTTGATGAGGTGCAATGAACCCGTTAAGAGTGATTTCTGAAGGGATTTGTGAGAATTGTCTGAGAATACAAAGCTTTTTGGACTTAAAATTAAGTGTGAACGGATAAGTAGAGGAATTGTTGATGTCTAAAACTGATGCAATTTAATTTGTACCTAGATTTCTTCAAGATACATCAAAGATTGCCAATAAATTCCACAAAATCTCACCAAAAACTAATAATTATAGATGAAAACTAAGTGCTTCAACCTCTTATCTTGTTTTATCTACAATAAATGTGTAAAATTGTGTAATTATAGAGTTAATGATGAACAAATTGAGTTGTTTGATGCGATAATATACTTGATGCGGCTGAGATTACTGAAAGAACTGAAGTATTGAGTGAGAATAACATGATAAGAGTGAAAAATGAATGTTTTATTATTGTTTTGATGTTGAATGTTTTATTAAAAAATAATTTGAAAACTTAAAGATCATTTAAACATTGTTTTTTGAAAGATTAAAAAGTTTGTATTAAGTTTGACTAATTTGTCAAAAGCTACCAATTTATTATAATGTATCGTATTAAGAACCATCACCATAAACCTAAGTAATACTCAGATTAATATTATGAAACAAGTATTGAACAGTTGAACCTATTAGAAAGAACTAAGGTCGTATCTATGATATATCTTCATGTTCTGAGATTGTTTTTTATTTGATTACAACTTTGAGGACTCATTACGATTTTTACAGTTGCATAGTAAGAGTAGTGGGAGGGGGGAGGTGGTTGATGTTTAAATCAATACAGGTGCGTACCCAGAGGGTAGATTTGGGAACAAATCATCTTTAATCAACAGAAATTTCTTTATTTTGCTAGAGTTTTATGAAAAATTCGTAAAAATCCACCTGACCTACCTCCAAAATTTTTCCATACAAAAAATCACCCAGCCCCTCTTCAAATTTCATATTACGTCCCTCAGAATTAGTTATGAAAATTTTATTAAGAAAGTTCGATGATACGAACATTTCAGTGTCGACATGTTCGAATTTAGTCCAGGGGTTGACACGATTTCATCTTGATAAAAAATTTCTGCATCCTATTGTTAAGATGAAATCTTGTCAACCCCTGGAATTTAGTCGACCATGCGTTCAAATATTTTAAAAACCGTTAAAAATTTATTTCAATTTTAGGATTTTAAGCATTAATATTTAAGTTCTTGTAAATTTCTTGTATGAGTTTAGCTAAACTGAGCTAATAAAGAAGCAAGGGATAAGAATCGTTTACCAAAACCTTGTTTTTACAAGAAATATTCGTAAAAATTGAACGGTTTTTCGATATTCAAACTAAAAAATAACGGCTTTTTGACGTGTCCGTAGCATTGAAAGTTTATTTAAGCTATTCCACCCTTAAAAATAGAATTTAAAGTGTTAAGCAATCGTTTAATAAAATCAGGATCTTTTAGGAATACATCAACCGTATTAACATTCCCAGACGCATTAATTTCATCATAAACTTTATTAAATGCTTCCCATCCATTCCAATCAGAGACTCCGACAAGTTTTAAAGAAAGATTTGCAAATAATTTAAGCATATGTGGTGTACGTAAATTCAGATTCAATGTTTCGATAAGTGGCTTGACCTTATTAATAGTTCCAACGATTCTTTCCACAAATCCGACAGCTTCTCTATTTTCTATGCTAATGACTGACAGAAATTTGAATAAAAATTCATGTATTTCATAATCGTCAAAGTTAGCAAGTTCATATGTTGGTGCTGTTAATAAATCACGTAATTTTTCACCATATTCAGGCTTTGTGCTTACTGCTTGGATGATTTCTGTTGTTTGTTTGATTTCCTTGAATAATTTCTTAATAAGCCATTGATTTGGAACTGACACTTCATCAAATCCATCCCATACTAGCGCAATTCTATTTGATTTAAAGCATTCCTCAAAAATTGACCTTTCAAAATCATTTTGCAGATTGACAGATAAAATCATCTTCAAGAACTCTTGAATGCTAATGGAATAATTAAGAAAATGATAAAATTGCTCATTATCTTTCAGATTTAAATACGCAACCCAGTATAAAGGATTTTTCTTCTTAATTTGCACTGTCAACTGTTTAAACACCTCAGTTTTTCCAGTTCCAGCAGCAGATGATAAAAGAAACATTTTAGAGTCCTCAGCTATTTGTATTGCTTGATCAAGTGATGTATAGCTTGCATTAGAACAACCAGAATGACAAGCAAACTTCCTCTGGACATAAAACATTGAATCATTTCGGAACATATTGCTGACATTTAACAATTGACCGTCCAACACTTGAATGATCTGCATTGATGTCAATGCTTCGAAAATCTTTGGATTTAAGGTATTAAGGCTGTCAAATTTTAAGTTTTGATTTTGAAAATTAAAGTTTGAGTCTAAAATTTTGTATTTTAGTTGTTCTGTCATATTTCTCCAGTCATGAACGACAAGTTCATCCAGATAGTGATAAAATGTATTATCAAAGTCAAGTGGTTTATTCTTAAGCATTAGAGCAATATGATCTGAATATAATAAGCCATAAGCTTCAGAATCATCAGGAAATAAATCAGCAAATGTTACATTAACGCCTTTATAAGTCACTGTGGAATTTCTGACCTTATCTTGTTCTTCTCGTTCGAGTTCATTATAAACAAAAATGTCAGGAAAGAAGACAAAACGGACAATAAAACCAACAGCAACAATCCCAACTGCAGCTAAGATTGAAATGATGATGATTAGTGATTTATATTTCACAATCATTTTATCCTTTTTCTCCAACTCCATTTTGTCCCTAAGTTCCATTTCCTTAACAGCCACTTGAAGTTCCGGAACAGTCTTTTTCTCATAGAATTCAAAAAGACAGCTAAAATTTGAGTAAGCTCTAGCCAAACTATCAGAATCCTTACAATACAATGCAAATAGATGTACAACTCGAACGATTAGCTCGCTATGATGATGTTCCTCCGGATAGTCATTAAATACAGATCCTATAACTTTTTCCTTATATCCTATTTTCTCACAGATTACTGTAATTTCCTCGAATTTCTCTTCGGTCATACGATCACTGCTTAAGTATGGTTTTGCTTGATTTTTATAAACAATATTCATTGCAAAGTGACAAAATTCATGAGCCATAGTCGCCAATGCGTTGTTTTCAGTCTCACTGTCAAGCAAGTCTTTGGCACCAATGTAAACTCGACCAGAAAAGTAAAAAGCTGCCTGGGTGTCTGGAGTTTTAGTCGGATCTAAAACATTCACAGCATCGCGATTAAAGTCAAAGATAATTTTGAATTTTTTGGATGCTGCAACGATCATAAGAATGATTCTGATCTGAACTAGACTATCGAGTGTTCGATAAGCTCACTGAACATACTCGGTCTTCTTTATTGCATCAGTATCATCGTGGCAAATAAAAGAATTTTCAATAAGGAAGTTGATGTGCTTCTCAAAGAGCACTATTGAGTACTAATTATGAATTTCTTTAACATACCTCTTAGACTCTTCAGAGAGCTGTTCCAAATACTCTGCTGGATTCTCGTGTGGACCAAATTTGTACTTTTTACTCAAAAATATTTCATAAAGTTCAAGAGAATCATTTTGGATGGCAATTTTTAATGCTGATTCATTGTTGAAATTGTAAAAGTGACTTAGGTTGTGCCTGTCAATGATTTTTATGGCTTTTTCTTGATCATTCACAATTATGTGCTTATGAAGCTCCTCAGTGTCATTATAAAAGTCCTTAAAAGCTCCGGTCACCTCACCTGCATCAAATCCTGTTGAAAACATCAGATTTGCTTGAGCTAGAACCAGCAAAACATCAAAGTGCTTTCCATTCCATGCCAAACTTAGTGCATCGATGCTGTTCCTTGGCATGTTAGTGCTCATACCGAGGTCAATAAGAATCTTGACAATTTCTGCATTTCCTTCATCTGCCGCAATCAACAGGAGATTGTAGTTACGGGAATCGACTAGAAAATTGATGTCAATCTCGGTGATAGCTGCTTGATGTGAAAGTCTGTTGACGAATCCTTAAAGTAAATTGATATTAAAGAGCTTTTAAATGAATAAAGCAAGGGGAGAACAACATGATGGGATGGAGGTCTGAAGGAGAGATTTCTCATCATGTTGTTATCCCCTTGTAATAAAGAATATAAAAATGAACCCAAATTACAAAGAATCTGTTCATTTTCAACCATAATATGTAACACGATACATGTTCTTTGTGTTTTAGTGTGACTTCATACCTAACTCGTCATTCCTTATAGACTTGATCAAAAAGTCAGCAACATATTCATATAAAGTTTCAGTATTTATTGTCTTAGTCATTTGCCGCTGTTTTAATAGTTTAAAATGTTAAATCTCTTTTGGTTTCCAAAAAATGAACATAATATTGGCATTTTTATTGCATATGATTATAACCACTCCTTTTTCGGCAAAGATGCTGCTCATGTTATTAAAATCATCAACTTTTATTTCAGGAAATTCGTCATCAATAATTAATTTAACAGCAATAACTTCGTTGTCTGTGAAATTATTTGGAATTTTCAAATATGCATAGATTTCTGATGAGTCACTGCAGTTAATGGTTAAGTATAACTTTTGTTCAACCAGAACTTCATTATCTTCTACATTAATGCTTGCTGATGATAAAACTTGACTGGTTATTTCAGCAATTTCGTAAGCTTCGTAAACTGAAAATGAACATTAAAAAAATGCATAAATGTAATGATTTACCTCGGTCAAGGTTATACATATAAATTGTAGTGAAGGGCTGTTTAATTATATTCAATTAAGAGGAAATAATGATTTTAGGATTTTATAAAAGCTTAAGCAGACGAAAGAGGGTATCAGGGTCCTAGATCGATCTAGACAAAATATTAATTAATTAATAAAAATATCACGGAATGAAGAACATCGATTTCCGATTGAAAGCTATTCCGAGAATTCTCATATGTCCTAAATAGCTTTGAGAGGACCATTAAAAGGTCCCCACCCATCCTACATAAACAATAAACAGATAATAATAATGTGTGAAGTGCCCAGCCTTCTAGCTGGAAGAACTGCGAATCAACTTGCAAAGAATCTATTGTATCACACCCTTTAGACCTACAGTTTATAGCGGGATCCGAACAACTTGCAAGCTCTGCATATTGAAGAGACATGAGTACGTCATAAGACCTGATGTACTCTGCATTGTACCGAGCTTCGTAACTAGAACGGTAAAATGGAAAAAAGAGCTTCAAAAATTAGAAATGGCCTGGGATTGAACTCAGAACCTTTGGCACGGAAGGCCAACGCTCTACCATTTAGGCCATTTCACCGCTAACAATAACCAGAACATATCCCTTTCTCCCTCTCCTCTATGGCTAAAAATCACGCATAAACAGGGTTCGTCTTAAAAAGACATGGGCACCATTTTTTTCCACGATGAGTATTGCATAGTTTTAAAAAATTTTAAGGCGTGTAATGAAATATAAAATTTTCTTAAAAGTGTTTCGCCAAATATTAGCTTGAAAGACACTGACCTAAAAGCAACGTGACTATAATATTTCAAGGACAACTCATAAATGTGAGCAAAAATTTCAATTTACTGAATTATTTTTCCATTAATTTTTAAAAAATTTTACAAATTGTGAGTTAAATTGTGAAACCGGCCGCAGCCAGGACACTGAGCGTCCAAAACTTTAAAATTTGTGAATCACAGTTTCTCCCGATTACCTCGAATCCGCCTCAGTTTCTAAATTTAATTTATTTATTTTTCAAGTGATTAAGGGGGCGTTCACTTATGACGTCCGGGGGAGGAGCGCGAGGTCAGCAAGAAAAGAACGATGGAAATTCCTGGATATCCATTCTTTTTTTTTTTGAAAAATGACCGTAATTGTTGGACGTTATAAGTGAACGACCCCAAATGCAAAAAATAATTTTTTTATTCATGCTGAAAATTTAATAGATTCAAACCTTCAGAACCTTTGGTTCTTCCATTTCCAATCAACTTTTCTGAACTAGCATTCACTGGATTTGTTGAGTCTTTGACATCCATAATTTGCAAAAGAAAACTAATTTTTTTGTTTCAACTTAACTTATTTCACAGCATCAAAGCAAGATAAAATTTTAAGATGTGGTCACCACAAAGAGCTTTATAACACTGATTTAAATATGAGCTGAAATGTTTTTATTTTCTATTAAAGACATTTTATCACATGTTATACTATTCTTGGATTATTTGTTGTTATATCTTTTGAATACTTAATGTCTCTGTGTTTCATAGTCTATGACAGTGATGGCCAACCCATGTGCTGCGACACAATAACGTGTTGTAAAAATTTCAATAAACCCTGCAAAACGTAAGCTGTATGTGGTTTTGGTCATAAGTTTGCCTTAGCTCAAAAAAGGTTGGCTACCACTGGTCTATGGCAAATATACTCAGTTTGCTTCTCTTAAAGTTACATCTCTGATCATACCAATCAAGTTTTTGCATACTTAGCAAATTCATGGAAGCTAGGACTTAATTTTTTTGGGGGAAACAATATTCTTTAATGTTTTCTTGAGCTTATTAAACTCTTTGAAATTTAGGAAGTCTCATAATTCTTGAAAAACTGATTTGCATCATCCAAAACTGCTGCTTAATATCTCTGTCGAAAAGTTGGAAAGTTCTTAAGCTAAAATTTGGTATTTTCACTTATCACTAGTTTACTTTCTGTTCTGGTCGCCAGCGGTGCATTTAGCGGGATCAGTAGATATTACGAGAAGGTATGAATCTGACATTTGGTCAGCATTGGAGTCAGAATTCGGCATCATTCAACTTGTGCAGTGTCTTCCAAACTGTGTCCCGTAGATCTTTTTTGAAAATGACGCGAGCCACATGCTGTGTGCGACTTTGGTAATGGCTTGCCCCTAAGCCGACCCGTGGCTCAACAAAGTTTGGACAACACTGAACTAGTGAATGATTCCCATTTGAGCTATAAAACTTTCTGAACTGAAATGAACTTTTCAACAAAAAAGTAGTCAAAATCCATACAATTGATGATGACAGTCATACCATCACGTACTCCAGTAAGATCACACGACTTACGTGTCAACATTCAGCTCATAATTTCTTAATCGATAAAATTTTGTGATAATTTTTTTAACTGCCCCAACAACAAATAATTTATGTCTGCAATTAATCATCATCAATTAGCTCAAAAGAATAGCAAAACTTGTCTATCCTTGACCTTTTTTTATGATTTATTACCAACTTCAATTCCACGTTCATTGTCAAAAGTAAGAATGGAAATTTTTTCAAGTCAATCGACAAATTACCGACGTCCTTCATCATCTTCTTTATTTTTTTTCCTTTAATTTCCTTCTCTGTGTGAAAATATTAAATAAACTTGGATATTGATGTCTTAATCAATTTTATGTGTTTCGTGATCTTATCTATTCATCATTAAGTTTGGACGACGAAAAATTTGTAATTGAAAACAATAATTTCATTCTTGACCTCAAATTTGTCGGCATTTTTTTGAGAAATTGAATTCAGTTTGTCGCAAAACGTGGACTGTGAAAGGTGCTCTCTTGGAATTCAATTGGAATATTTTTGATAAGGCAAAGGTAATGGAATAAAAAGAATAAAGTATAAAGGCAAGACTGTTAAAAGGATGTTTAAATGTCAATCTCTAGCAAGTCTCACTTCAAATTAATTTTTCTTATTGGAAAAGCTAGTCAAAAATAGAATAATTTTAATGACTTCTCTTGAAAGTTGATGGGTAAAGAAGTGCCAGCAAAACTTGTAACAATTCAGACAGATCTGAAAACAGATGTCGATTTCATTTGGGAACACTATATTATTATATGCTCAATCTTAGACTCAATGCAATCATTTGTTTCAATTTATTCAAAGTCTGTTGACGTAAATTGGTACATTTAAAGCAGTGTTGTCCAAACTGTGTGCCACGGCACACTCAATCAACTCTTCTATTCAAATTTATATTTAGGAAAATAATATCTAAGTCGCAATATGTGACTTATAATATATAATGTGTGAAGGGCCTAGCCTTTCAGCTGGAGGCACTGCGATTCAAATTAGAACAGAATCTATTGTACCACACCCTTTAGACCTACAGTTTATAGTGGGATCCGAACCACTTGCAAGCTCTGTACATTGCAAAGACACGAGTACGTCATAAGACCTGATGTACCCTGCAATGTACCTAGTCACAATCCGTGTGCGCAAGATGCCGTAAGGAAGTCATCCAGATGCTAGTATATCCTTGTATACCTAGCAAAGGAGGCATATTCTATGCCAAAGACATCAATACTACACCCAACACACGAACCGAGCTTCGTAACTAGAACGGTGAAATGGAAAAAGAGCTTCGAAAATTAGACATGGCCTGGGATTAAACCCAGGACCTTTGGCACGTAAGGCCAACGCTCTACCATTTAGGTCACTGATGCCATTTCACCGTCCTTATGTGACTTACTAGCTACTAGATTTCATATCTGGGAAGTCGTTTTGCAGTGATTCAGACAAAATACTGTCCAAATAAGATATGGGAATTGGTCTAGATTCTATTTATAGCCAATATTAAGTCATTCTAGGACGTGCACATCGGTTGAATCCATACTTGGAAGCTCGGTTTGTGTAGAGACTGTCTACGTTCCTGAATTAGGCCATAAAGTTTCGACATTTCATTGTTCTGTAGAAGTCCACGAATCAGTGTTTGTAGCACGTAAGGATTTTATTGACTATCCGTACAGAAACTTTACTCTTGATATTGCCAATACGTTTCGTACAGCTACAACTTTTTGGTCAAATAATTCACAAATCCAAAAATTGAGATTTCTTGATGTTTGGCCTTAGGGTTTTCCATCCCGAAGTTGAAATGTATGTAATCGCGTGAACAAACCCATAATTCAGTACATTTTAATCCCGGGACTAAAACCCCTATATAGCCTTATATTAGCACATTGCCATCTAATTCTAAATTATTTTCCAGTTTACAAAATATTATAAATCCAAGAATATCTAAACTTTACAAAAAACGTCTTGACAAACTTGTAAGGAATCATGGGAAATGTTATAACCAACATCCAAAGCATCATGGCCTTCAGTCAACATGAAGAGATTAAAAATCCGGAGCCAAAAACCTTATCTGATCGTCAAGTGGCAATTATCAAAAAATCTTGGGAGATTCCATTTGCTAAGGTAAGAATTGAAGCTGCTATTTGTCGCATAAGATTCAACAGACTTAAAGTATGAGAGTAAGCCTCTTTTAAAGTCCATGACATGAGAAACTCAAATTTAAGAAAATGATCCTTCATTAGGAGAGTCAAACCAAGAACATGCCCCGATTTCAGTTTAGAAAAAGTATTTACCAGCAAAAATAGGTATACGGAATGTCCCGCTCGAAAGTGCGCAATTGAACAGCCTATCTCTTGTAAACCTCACCATACCAACCTTTCCAGTAGCTTTAAAACCTTACAAACTGTCCCTAGAACCAACTTCATCTCCAAAAGCTTCAAATCTTTGGCTTTAATAAATATCCTTTTACATCCAGCCTCTAGATTCCGGCGAGAAGATCCTCTACACTTTACTAGAAAAATATCCACACAATCAAGACAAATTTGCTGCATTCAGGAACACGCCAATCATTATGTTAAAAGGAACTCCGGGATTTAGAAGTCATGCCAATAAAATCATGTAAGTTGCTGCTCAAATTTATCGATTCCAATTTCCAATAAATATCCACAAACCTTACAACTGCTCAACATGCAAGTGTCAAGGTTGTAAATTTATTGACAATTTTTTTCTATTTTTTTTAATCACGCAAAAAACTCATCATAAAATAAGGGGAATATTTGGTGTCTGTATCGATTGTCTTGGCAAGCCTGGCGGTGCTGAAGAAATTGTTCGAGTTCTGAATGAAATGGGCAAGAATCATCGACGTCGTGGGATTCCAAAGAAGGCTTTTATAGAAATTCGTGGAATAATTATTGATACTTTGAGGGATTTATGTAAGCTGGATGATGAAGGCGTTCAGGCTTGGAGTGACTTGTTGGACACAGTTTATCACATCATTTTTACTAATTTAGATGAGAAGAAGTTGGAAAATAAATGAAAAGAATGCTGGACGGAGTGAACGAATTGGATTGATAGTGGATGAATGATTGGGGAATTTTGAGGTTGAAGTTAAACTTGTGAAGAATTAAACAAGGAATCTTCAAACTAGAGTTCTTAGGTTAAAGTGCCTTCACACTAGTGTTCTGAGGTTAAAGTGCCTTTAAACTAGAGTTTTGAGTTTAAGGTGTCTTCAAACTAGAGTTCTTAGGTTAAAGTGCCTTCACAATAGTGTTCTGAGGTTAAGGTGTCTTCAAACTAGAGTTTTGAGTTTAAGGTGTCTTCAAACTAGAGTTCTTAGGTTAAAGTGCCTTCACACTAGTGTTCTGAGGTTAAAGTGCCTTTAAACTAGAGTTTTGAGTTTAAGGTGTCTTCAAACTAGAGTTCTTAGGTTAAAGTGCCTTCACAATAGTGTTCTGAGGTTAAGGTGCCTTCAAACTAGAGTTTTGAGTTTAAGGTGTCTTCAAACTAGAGTTTTGAGTTTAAGGTGTCTTCAAACTAGAGTTCTTAGGTTAAAGTGCCTTCACACTAGTGTTCTGAGGTTAAGGTGCCTTTAAACTAGAGTTTTGAGTTTAAGGTGTCTTCAAACTAGAGTTCTTAGGTTAAAGTGCCTTCACACTAGAGTTCTGAGGTTAAGATGTCTTCACACTAGAGTTCTGAGCTTAAGGTGCCTTAACACTAGAGTTCTGAGGTTAAGATGTCTCCACACTAGAGTTGTAAATTTAAGGTGTCTTCACACTAGAGTTCTGAGGTAAGGATGCCTTCACACTAGAGCTCTGATGTTAAGTTGCCTTCACACAAGAGTTTTGAGGTTAAGGTGTCTTTAAACTAGAGTTCTGAGGTTAAGATCACTTCACACTATATTTCTGAAATTCTAGAGTTGTCTTTACAGTGGAGTGTTAGGGGGGGGGGGGGGGGGGGGGTAAGGTGCCTTCACATTAGAT